TGGCGACTGGCGACAAATGGTGAAGACTGAAGAGAGACTCTCTTAGAGAGTGAAGAGGAAACGGCGAGAAGATGATTGAATGTCGAATGGTCGGAATGGACAGGATTCACTGATTCAGGAGACAGGAATGAGGGAGGAACTGAAGAGACACTGCAGGCGAGAGGCGAGAGTTGGAAGTAATGAAGATGACGGTGAGGATATTGGTGGGTTTTTATTGGGCTTTTTGGGCTGGGGCTTTTTGTTGTAAGTTTGTATTGGTTTTTTTTTTTTTGGCCCAAGGCCACTGCCTTAGTAGCCTTGGGCCAGGGCCAGGGCCGGCCCTGTATATATTCAAAACTGTCGATTGCATTGCTTAATGAAAGAAGAATTTTGGAAAAAAAAAAAAGTGCACATTTTGGACGGTTGGGGATGATGAATATTCCACTTGCCATAAAAGCAAAATAAAGGTACAATTTTGAATTGCCGACAATAAAGATAACTAGAGGATGAATTTAGTAAATTAATTAGATGCAAAGAGAATAAAGGTGCACTTTCGTATCATTGTTAGAGAGATCTAAGAGACAATTCATTGATTGATTCATATACATCATTCTTGTGATTCAGCAACTGAGTTTTAGGAAAACATCAAGGTTCGTTAATCCAAAACACCTAACTTCCTTAACACTTAAGGAAGGGATTCAAGGTAGGAAAGAACTGAAATAAGGGTGCGTTTGATTACAAGGGTGGAAAATAGGTGGAAAGAAAATGAATTTCAGGAAAAATAATTGTCTAAAAATTGTTTTGCAGTGAATTGTTAATTAAGTGTGTTTGATTGATATAATTTTTCACTCGAAAATTTTTTAAATTTTGTGTTCGTTTGGCCTTCGTTTGCATCAAAATTATCCAATAAAGTGATAACTTTTTCCACACTTGGTTATAAAATTTGTTTCCATTGCCAAAAAGTAAAAAAAAAATGTTTCCTAAAAAATCATTTTTTTAATCAAAGTTTAGTGTTCGTTTGCATCAAAATTTTCCATTAAAATGAATTTTTTTTTTTTTACAATTGGTTATGAAATTTGTTTTTATTGCAAAAAAAAAATCAAAATTGTCCATTAAAGTGGTAATTTTTTCCACACTTGATTATAAAAAAAAAAAAAAAAAAAAAAAATGTTTCCTAAAAAATCATTTTTTTAATCAAAATTTAGTGTTCGTTTGGCCTTCGTTTATATCAAAATTGTCCATGAAAGTGAAAATTTTTTTACACTTGGTTATGAAATTTGTTTCCATTGTTAAAAAAAAAAAAATCAGAAAACCTTTTAAAACATTTTCTTCTCACGCCAAGAATAAGGTGCTTAAGTGGAAAATAATTAGCACAAATTCCAGGCAAAAAGTCTACAGTGTCAAGCTGATGACGTCAGTTTGATTACGTTTCCGTATTGTCTAAAATGTTATTTTTTTCTCCATTATTTTGATTGGAGAAGAAAAGACAGTTTTGAAGACGCGGGAATCTATCTTTCTTTTCTGTCCTTTTTGTTTTTGTCAATGAATACTTGACTAAAGTACCATTCAGGTTTTGTTTGATTTAACTTTTCATTCTTTTCTTATCTTAAAACATTCTAGATGCATGTTGGAGCAATTATTGAACCCAAAAAATAGATTTTTGTACTGTTAAAGAGAATGACTAACCGCAAGTCCGCAATTGTTGATTGACTGTGTCACGAGTGGGGCCCAAAATTTGAAAACAATGATTTAAATTTGTTAAAAATCTACACCAAACATGCAGATAAAAAAACGAGTAATCTATAATTTTTTATTTAGATAATGCATATATTTGGTACCAATTAAAATCTAAATTTTAATTTATATCAAAGTCAACAATTAATTTTAATCATATATTTTATGAGTCCCACAACTTTTTAACCACACAGTTCATCAACTTCTATCAAAAGAAAAAAAATCAAAAGTTTTCTTAATCGCTAAGAACTAAATAAAAAAATCATATTTTATTTTTAAATTAAATACTATATAAAAATTGCTTTGATTACATTTTCTTATAGTTGGAAAGTCTACAAGGACCCCATCTGGGATGCTGTGCACCGACGCGTGGGGATTGACCCCCACTCTTTTTGACTGTTGGGTTGATGGTTGTAACAGTGGCGTGAAGCCAACCCTGACCGGCCCCTCACAATGTGGGGGGCCCACTTTTTATTTTCAATTTTTTATTCCCGTGGAGCCGGCAATCATGTGAGGGTTTGTCAACCTCGTGATTTTATGCTTGTCGTTGTGTTTTTGTATGTATTTGAGAAGGGGAGATCAAACAATATATGAAAATCAAATATTCCATAGGTTAGGTTTGTCAAGGCTTCACATGTTTTGGAATTTTAGTATTAATTCCACTTTTTGCAAAAAAGGAAAAAATGGATGGATCAAGACGAACTTCACTCTACACACATGCTATTATAGTGTATTCTTGCTTTTATTATTGGACTCCAAACTAAAATAATGTTGGTTATTTATACCGACGATTAGCGAGTGATAGAAAAATAATGCTCCCTTGCTATAAAAATAGTTCGTCGTGAAACCTTCTAGCAATTAGTAATGCTATTAGAAATTAATTTTATAACCACTACCATCTCCTTCATCTTAATCAATAACTAAACGTCTATTCACCACCAACCAAGCGAACGAATTCTACTTTCTGAAATCATTTTTTAATGGACAGTTTGTCATTTGATGTATTAATAAGTTAGTTTTTTTATTGCCTCATGCAACAAATAACAAATTGTCACATGTATGATACGTAGGGTAACTATTGATAATTTTTACTATAAATAACATTATTTTTAAAAAATAATTTTTTCACCCAATAATAAAATATTGTGTTATATATGTGGACAAAAAATTTCTGTGCATGATTGTATCTTTAAAGAAGTGAGCACAAGCCATTTTTTGCCAAAAATCTGCTAAGTTCGATGTCCTTTATTAGGCCCACCAACTTTCCGAAGCAAGAAGTTAGGTACCGCCAGTCGTGGGGACTGATAAAAATATAAAATTCAGTGCAAGATTGTATTTTGGGAAGATATTTTCGACAAGAAGTGAAGGTAAAATAAATCTTTTACTCACTATTTTATCATTACGCTTGTTAAATTTATCCATAGAAGATCAAACATGCAGGTAAAATTCAATTCAACAATAACCAATTAAATGAACTAAAAATCCAAAAATACAAGAATGATAATACATTGATGGTCATTGAGATTAGAGGATCCTAAAAGCAGCATAACACAATATTTCAAAACCAATTTTACCAACGAATATTGATATATGACATTCAACGATCATCACGTGTAATTGTTAATTATTAATGTGAAATAAGTCCAATTTTAGTTAAATGAATGACGATTGGACGTGTATGCTTAATCATTTAGAAATTATTAAAAAGTGACATGTTGCTTTTAATAGAATTATTCCGTACGTATGGTCAAAACTATTAACTGATAACTAATAATTATTCGGTAACTTGTTAGCCGTTAATTAATAAAATTGTATTTTTATTCATTTATAAGGAGTCGACTCGCTTCGCTAGGCTAACATTCCTATCCCGTCACCACAACAAGGTAAAAAGTCAAATAAGGTGGCTTCATCAATGGAGTCTAGAAAAAAAATATCTTGCGAATCAGATTGTTGGCCCAGATGGAGGATTATAAAATTCAATAGATTTTTTTCACTTACAAAAGTAAAAAGAAAAAAAAAATTTATCCATTTGTGCACATTCAATAGATAATTAATACAAGTCAATATTCATTGTGTGTCTCCTTCTAGATGACAAGTTATTATCGATTTCAAATTGTAATGGCTGTTTTTCAATCCTAGTAGTGCAAAATGCATTGCCTCAAACTATTTGACTCTCCTATCATCATGCTGACTCAACCCAACCCACAAGCTAGCTCCCACTCGCAATGGATAA